GTGTGACTGCATGTGTGAGTGTGAGAGTGTATGTGTGAGAGTCTGTGAGGGTGTGGCTGTGTGTGTGAGAATGTGTGAGTGTGTGACTGTGTACTGCATGTGTGAGAGTGTGACTGCATGTGTGAGTGTGAGACTGTGTATATAACTGCATGTGTGTGAATGTGTGAGTGTAAGAGTATGACCCCGTGTGTGTGAGTGTGACTGTGTATGTGTGACTGCGTGTGTGAGTGTGACTGCATGTGTGAATGTGACTGTGTGTGACTGCATGTGAGAGTGTGTGTGACTGTGTGTGAGTGTGACTGTGTGTGTGACTGCATGTGAGAGTGTGTGACTGCGTGTGTGAATGTGACTCTGTGTGTGTGTGTGACTGTGTGTGTGACTGTGAGAGAATGTGACTCTGTGTGTGTGAGTGAGACTGCATGTGTGAGAATGTGTGACTGTGAGGGTGTGAGAGTGTATGTGACTGTGAGGGTGTGAGAGTGTGACTGTGTGTGTGTGGCTGTGTGTGACTGCATGTGAGAGTGTGTGACTGCGTGTGTGAGTGTCACTCTGTGTGTGTGTGACTGTGAGAGAATGTGACTCTGTGTGTATGTGTGAGACTGCATGTGTGAGAATGTGTGACTGTGAGGGTGTGATAGTGTGTGACTGTGTGTGAGAGTGACTGTGAGGGTGTGAAAGTGTGTGTGGCTACGTGTGTGAGTGTGTGTATGTGTGTGCTGGGGGTTGTCCTTCTGCATTAGCCTTTTCCGTTTAGGGTAAGTCCTTTCCTCACATGGCCCCCCAGGGGTCCTGCCCACACCCTGGCAGGCAGGTGCATCCCGTCCCAGTGCTCAGGAGCACTTACTCCAGTCTAGGTAATGGCCTCCCTTTCCTCCAGCTGGTGAGCTGCCCTGAATCCCCCCTCTGGAAGTGTCTCTCTTTCCTTAGACCCTTCATCGTGTGGCTTTCTCTAGACCAGAGACCTCCGGGGGTAAGGAGCTTGGCGCTTGCTCCCTGGTAGGCCTAGTCAGCAGGCCCAGGAAACATCTAACTGCATCTTTGAGAAATGACTGAATCCCTACGTTAAAATAAAACAAACCAACCCCCCCAAAACTCCTTAGCCTCAATGTGTGACAGCTGTGAGACGTGATCTTAGTAAGCAACACCAGTGACACACTTCTCAGTCTCTGCCGTACCGGTTGCAATGGAAAGAGAAGGAAAGAAGGACAGAGTGAGCTCGGCCCCATTGGAGGGGTGAGCACTACTTCTGCAGAAAACAAGAGTTTCGATTTTTAATCACTGAGAGAACTGCTATTGCTAGGAAGAAAAAGATTTTTAAAAATTTAAGATTTTAAAAAGAGAAGCCCTTTCACAACTAACACCCTCTTGACCCTGTTTAACATTCTGATTTGGGTCTTAACTTCACGTAGACTAAAACAGTGGCTCCGGTTGTGAAAGTTACGTGACCAGCCAGCTGGTACACGGGACAGCAGTGCAAGATTTATGGGCTGGTTTAAAGAACTCACCGTATTTGTAGAATGAACCCCATCCCTTGAAGAGTTTCCAGAAACATTATCATGAACCTTTAAATGTTACAGGTGTTCACCGTTGGTCCCTTTGTCTGTGTGTGTGCACGGAAGTGTGGTGTTCATTCGCGTGTGTGTGTTTCCTGCCTGACAGATTTAGCTGAAAGGATCCTTGGGAGCAGCCTGAAGAAGTAATCATATTAATGAGAATTGCCATCAGGAGTGGCTGGGGTAGTTGTTTCCCTCTTAAGCCTGGCATGCAGGTCTTGGTGAGCATTTTATCTAAGCAGCCAATCCCTCTACCCACATCGGGCAGTGGCCAGCCTCCCCCATCCCTCAAGGAACGTCAGCCTAGTTCCATCACACACGCCAAACGGGTTCCTGAACTCCTAAGGGATGAGGAAGTCTTACCTGCTGATGCAGTAGAAAGCAATGAGCCGGAATAAATCCGCAAAACTGATTCCTGAGCCTTCCAAGGAAAAGGCTGGAAAAGAGAGATTTCAGAGAGCAGCTGAGTCTCCCGGCCCATCGGGGACTGTCACACACTACCGTGTGGCTTATCAGAGCCAGCTGTGCCGAGGGTGCTTGTCAGCCAGCAGCCCGCCGTAAACAGCCGCTCGGCCTGGACGGTGCCTGCTTGACTCACACCAAGCACATGTTCCAGTGCTCAGTAAACAGACCAGGGCAGACTCCAGTTGCACAACGGGCGCCTTTCCCCCCCCCCCTAGTTCAGAGCACACAGTTGTGCATGGAGCAAGGGGCCAGTCTGTGTGGAGTGTGAGGCCCTCGGCACACAACAGGGTCTGGGTATGCCCATGCCCCTGGGTCCCTCAGACCTCCTAGGACATGGACATGCTCAGTCACACTCCTTTTTTACCAAAATATGGAACCTCTGGCTAAAGGCACAGGGCAGGAGGGGTACACAGCTGGGAGGATCGGAGGAGGTACCCACTGGCGGCTTTTAGTTGAATTGGGTGCGGAAGATCTGAAAGCTCAGCTCCTTGAATGTCACTCCCCATCTACCCTACCCCAGTGTCCTAGTGGAGAAGACCCCTTCTCCAGGACAGCGTGGCATGTTGTACCTCCTCTGAAAGGTGGAGCCGAGTGACTGGACTTCAAATACTCATGAACTTGCCAGGCATCTTCTGGCCACTTCAGCTGAACTCTTACCCCCACTGGTCCTTATCTAAAACATCCCCAGTAACCTCAGTTTTAGAAAGATTTCCTCAATCAGCTGTATTTTCTTCCGATTTTTTTTTCTTTGAGACAGAGTGTTACTTTGTTACCCTTGGTAGAGTGCTATAGCGTCACAGGTCACAGCAACCTCAAACTCTTGGGCTCAAGCAATTCTCTTGCCTCAGTCTCTGGGACTACAGGCGCCTGCCACAATGCCCGGCTATTTTTAGAGACGAGGTCTCACTCTGGCTCAGGCAAGTCTCAAACACATCAAACACATGAGCTCAGGCGATCCCCTCACCTCGGCCTCCCTGAGTGTTTGGATGACAGGTGGGAGCCATGGAGCCCAGCCTTTTTTTCCCTTCTAAACACTCTGTTCCCTCAATTATTTTGCTTATTTGCTATTTTGTATGATTTTATTTATTTAGTATTTCTCTAGCACCCCCAAACACACCCATACCTCTGTACATGTCTATCATAAACACACGCACATGTGCACAAATCCTACAGTTTATCAAGTTACGTAGGGGAACTGATGTGGGGCAGGTTAACTTCTCTGAGCCTCAGTTTTCGCATCTGTAAAGTGGACTATGCATTAACACTGCTCTCCTTCTCTCCCAGGGTGGTAGGGGTGGGAAATGGAATTTTAGAAAACGAAATAATTTACACAAAAGCACTATATACAAACATGAGGTGGTGTCCAGAAGTTACGACAAAATACCTACTTTTTTTTTTTTTTTTTTTTTTAAAGACAGCGCCAAGGTCTTGCTCTGTTGCCCAGGTTTGAGTGCAGTGGTGTCATCATAGCTCACTGTAACCTGAACTTCTGGGCTCAAGTAATCCTCAACCTCAGCCTCTTGAGTAGCTGGGACTACAGGCATGTACTACTGTGACAAGCTAATTTATTCCATTTTTGTAGAAACATGGTCTTGCTATGCTGTCCAGGCTGGTCTCAAATTCTTGGCTGCAAGCATTCCTCCTACCTCAGCCTCTTAAAGTGCTAAGATTACAGGCATGAGCCACAGCAACCAGCCTTTGCATATGTTTACCAGAAAGTCTTTGCTCTATCCCAGTTTATAGAGAAGACAGGCCCTGGCTGGGAAGGGGCTATTACAGTGGGACCCAGGTCTGTGGTAACTGGTCATGATCACCACTTTCCACCACTTGAACCCCAGGAACCTGGATGAATAACAAGGAAGCTTTCACAGACATTGCCTATGCTTGTAGAAGAGGGGAAGACGTGGCTGCCACCAACACAACAGGTGAACTTTGGATGTTAGGGAGGATTTAAAAGCCACTTAGAACAGTGGCTTCTCGGTTCACAGATGTTCAAAAGCCAACTTTGAATCATGTAATTCGCTTAATACAAATCCATTCCTTACTCACTCAATATAAATTCATAACCTTTAAAACAGTGGGTCTGAAATGTGCCTCTGATCACCTTCTGATGTATTCGTAGTTTTTGCAGGTTGCACCTGATCGTGCCCCTTTCAGGTGTCTCCTGGCTTCCGTGACCTTTGAGATCCAGATTCACCGCTGAGCAGGAGGCAGAGCCCATCCAGGCTAGTGGTTCGCTTCTGCTGCAAGTGTCTCCTCCACAGACCAAGTTAAAAGTCATCTGGCTCAGCAAGACTGCCCTCTGGGCTGAGTATAATCTCATCTCTCCCTTCTATGGATCTCCACATCTTTGGTTTCTTTTATTTTTTTTTAACTTTTTTTTTTTAATTTCATATTATGGAGGGCACAAGCCATTAGGTTATATAATTTACATATGAATGGTGAAAGTCAGAGTTGTAGCTGTGTCCTGAGCCCAGGAATGTGCCTTATATCCACACATTGTACTCACTGTGGGAACTTACTGAACCCCTTTTTGAATTTAATTGGGAATTTTCTTCCATGTGGATCTATGATTGTTAATCTCCTAGTTTCAAATCATCACTGAATGCATGTGATGCTTTGCTTTTCTTTAAATGCAGGAACTGAGGTGATTATGGGGAAATCAAGAAAAAAGTGAGAATCCTGCCTCAGCCGTGTCCCCCATTCGCCTCCCCGGCTGTCACCCCCACCTCGCTGCCCGAGACCCCAGCGAAGCTTTCTTTCCCTTGGTGTGCAGGTCCATCTTCTGATCCTTTCAGAGAGGCTGGCAGAACATCAGAACTGTGTGTTCCCTTTTTTATTTAAAAACTTGGCCTCCAACACTTCAGATTTCCAATGACCAAAAAAGTGGACTGCAACCGCGGAACGACAGAAAAGAAACCAACGCCGCTGAGCACCACCCTCTCTGGATTGCGCCTCTGATTGGCTGGGTTTCATAGCACCACCCTCCCTGACTGCACCTCTGATTGGCTAGATTTCATAGAGGCCTGAGATCTGAAGGGAACAAGTCTGCACAAGGATGATTTGTTCACAAAGATGTGCAGACACAAGTTAGATCCTGAAGGGCATGCTCCCTAAAGACTTCCCTACAGCTTAGTCATCACCAAACCTGGGAGCCAAGTCCATGCTGTGCTAAACTGGGAAGAGGGGATAGAACCAACCTCTTTTAGGCCCCTACCATATACCAAGCATGTTGAATTGACTTGTTAGCTCAGAGGTTACCATCACCCAATTATACAGAGGAGAAAACTGAGGCTCCTGGGGAGGTCACCTGCCTACTCATTCAGTGCTAGGATGCAGACCCTTGCATGTCCATCCCCTAGCCCAGGTTCCTTCCACTTCCACTCCCAAGAGCCCCGAGGCCCTGGTTTTACCCAGTACCTCACCATCCCATGGCCACTTACTGTATGCACTTTCCTTGATGGCAAATTCCTTGAGTGAGGTTCCACATTCTTGGGGCAGGCGAAGGGAGAGGACTTTCTTCTGCATTTTGGTGGATTTATGAACCAGGAAGAGCTAGTGGAGGGAAAAGAAATTTAAGGTGAGGAACTGTCTAGAAGATTGGAACCTGAACACATGACTTCCTTCACACCCTCCTCCTAGTTGAAGTGCAGGCTCAGTACAGGAGACTCTGCTGCCAGAGGAAGGGGCGCTCAGAGAGCAGCTGTAGACACCTGACTTTGATAACTGGCTTCAAAAGAATCCTGCTTTGCCTTTGACAGAACCGTCTCCCAGAGGCTAAGAACTCCGGTTGGCATCAGCATTCTCAGTTTTACTACTGGAATTACATGTTCTCCAGCCCCCGTCTATCTGGGCATCTCAGCGGATGAAAACTGACTTCCAAACAGGTAATGTGGCTGAACCTCGGGTGGTGACAAGGGAGCTGATTGGCCAGTTTGGATCAAAGGTGTATTTATAATAGGAATTTGAATTTGATGCCAACAGTGAAAAAGCTGGAGTTGTTTTGGGTTCCACATTAAAATCTGAATCTCTAGCTTCTCTCCGGTGCTCGGAGAGAAGGCTCGGTGGCAGCAGTTGGCTAGAACTGCAAACTGGCTGCTCCACTGGGAGGTGCGTGGATATGTTCTGAGGGTCATCCCAGACAGCGCTGACCATTTACTTGTGACTCAAGGTTCCACCAGTTCCCTCCAGATCCAAATACTGTCTTCAGACATGTGCGTCAAACAATCACAGCTCCTAGTGCTGCTGATCTCAGGACACCATTCTGGCCCCGGCTGCTGCCAATGCCAGTCTGCCATGTGTCACTGTGCAGGCCACACACTGCACAACTGTGGGAGGCACCCCTGTCCAGCTGCAAACTGAACGGCATTCCCCAGAGTGTGCAGTGTGGCTGGGGCCTGGTTCCCTTCTGGGGTACATGGCCACTGCCCACGGATCTAACCTGTCCCATTTCTCAAACTACTTCTCTTTCCTCTGCACTTGGACACCTACCCTCACCCCTCCAGTCCCCTACCTTTCTACACATTTTTCCCATTTAAGCTTCACTCTTCTCCTATGTCCAGTTACTAGCTCCTAAGATAACTTGTTTGAGGTATGGGGGGCACGTATAGGAATGGGGTGTCTTGTGAGGACTGAGACAGGAAGACCTTTAAGATCATCCACTAGCAGAGCTGGGGCTCAGGGTCTCCAGAACACCCTAAAATGGAAGCAGGTGTTTCTTTCTTTCTTTTTTTTTTTTTGGTTGCAGCCATCATTGTTGTTTGGCGGGCCAGGGCTGGATTTGAACCCGCCAGCTCAGGTGTATGTGGCTGGCGCCTTAGCTGCTTGAGCCACAGGTGCCGAGCTGAAGCAGGTGTTTCTTAAATAGCATCCTGGTGGGTAAGAGGCCACAGCACTGCTGGCTGGTGGAGAGGAACTGTTCCTCCATCTTGCAGGCAGGGATGTACCTGAGCCTGGGGCTTGAGGAAAGTCCCCCCATGGGCCTTATTTCCTGGAGGACTGCAGCTTTCTATCAGGGTGGGCAAGGCACGGCCTGCAGACCAAATTCATGCAGCCGCCTGTTTTTGTAAGAAAAATTGTATTGAAACACAGCCACGGCTCGGCGCCTGTGGCTCAAGTGGCTAAGGCACCAGCCACATACACCTAAGGTGGCGGGTTCGAATCCCCAGCCCGGACCC